ATTTAAATGTAATAAAATGCAAGAAGTGTTAACTTTCCTATGTTTCTGTGCCTCGGCAGCATCATGATGCCTGGTTTTTCTTTTTTTAACCGAGAAATTCCCAAGAGACAATGACACATGATTCTAAACTCAGTGGATAAAGGTTTTGAAGGGACAGCTGTTAGTAGTATGCCAATCTGATTTTAACAGAGTGCAAATCATTAGTCACTTATTGGAATCATCTTATACATTTGCTTACGGATTTGGTTTATGTCCATGAAATGTGGATGTTGATAGGAAATAGCGATTCATCCTTGAAGTTACTCTATTATGGTGTCTTTGACACCTACCTGAGTAACAATGGATATTTCTCATTATCAATTCTGCATAGTCTGAGTTGATGAGGCTTTTGGATTCTATATCTTGAGTCATCTTGTCTCTACCTCAAAATAAAAGAAAACAACGCTAGCAGCCCGTTTCCTGTTTATATTTAGATAAATTTGCTATCTATTTTGGATAGAGGTGAAATGTATCTTCTCATTTTGGTACATGTTTCTCTTGCGCCAGATTCTTGGGGCTGACTCACCTGTGGATGGTGCTCCACTTCCTTTGAACTGCTATAGCGAGGGTAATGCTAGCAACAGTGGGGATATAAGTAACTCCTTTGAAGAAGCACAAAACTGGCTTCAGCAACCGGATGAGCAGGAATCATTTGATCCTGCGATTCAACAGATCAATGCAGATACAAATCCTGTCAAGCATGAATTCATGAGTGAACCAAGCAATAGTATGAACACTGAAGATGTGGATTACTTGCTTGATGAACCAGTTGTAACTGCAACTGATAACCTTCAATTCAGTGATGGAGCATTCCTTGAAGCTAGTGATCTTTCAAGACCCATTGAGGTTAATACGTCAGGTTTTGACATGCTTGAGGATTACCTTACATTCTTTGATGCAGACGATAACTTCCAAAGTATGGGTTTCAATCCACCAATGATGACCGAAGGTGATGATCATGTGTCTGACTTAGCATCTCCGGAGGAGAAGGTAACATTACTTACCGACTCCACTTCTTGTACTTGTCATGTTCTGATCTTCTTGAATCTTAGCTAATTACTTTCATGACAGAACATTGGCGAGGTAAATGACCAACCAATTGCACCAAGTGAAGAGCCGGAGGATCAAAAGAAGAATGTTGCATCATCCTCAAAACTGGAACCATCTAAATTTGGATCAGGTAGTGATAAGGGTTCTTTTTGGATTCTATGCTGAAGATTTGCTCAACACGAATTTCAGTTAAACCAACAATTATGTTTCTTAAGATAACATTTTTTAACTAATTTAACATATTTTCCAAATGGTGCAGATTATAAGTATCCATTTATGAAGCAGGCAAGCTGCATGTTGGGTGGTATTCCTGCTCCTCCTGCATTTGCTTCGGAGTTCCCTTCAAAAAGTGCAGCTCTCCGTATGAATTCTTCCTCAGAAGCATCCAGTTCAATCCACGTCACTGGTTTTATTCAAATAACAAACATGACTATGAGTGGCAATGGGATGGACGAGTTGGTGGGTAAGCATGGGAATTACAACGTTATCCTATCTTTAGGCTTATCACAGCATGGTGATAGCTCCGCTCACTTGGAATCAGCAGTTAGTTTTCTTCCTGGGAAGACAATTTCAACAGTGTCCTGGTGCTGGTTCTATTATCTGTTCCTTTGGGTCCTCATTCTTTCCACAACCTTCAAAGTTGGGACCTTAATTCGTGCCGCGTAAGGCCTCAAGAATCTAGAGAGCTCAATAAAGAAGGGGCTCAAAACTAGTTTTTACTTTTGAAAGTCATGGCAGGTTATCTTGATCTCTGACTGAAGTGAACATTATTATATATGATACACAACCTATACCAGGAATATTTTAGTGTTTAGACATTCAAGTGAGTTGATGCAGTTTCTGACTCCTGAACAAATTTTAAAATTCAGTGATGTATCACAGTGCAGCTTGGAAGCTGCAAAACTCATTTTACACAACAATTAAGTACTGTGATTATTTTATGTAGTGCCATTGTCTTTTTGGCTGATCTTATTAGTTTTCATGCTGTTTCTGTCTCATGTTGTTACTTGTTATTATGTTTTATCGAAACAACCTCTCTACATTCACAAGGTAGGGGCAAGGATGCATACGCACTACCCTCTTCAGATTTCATTAAGCTAAATTGTTGACAAGTTACAAGGGTGGTCGTAATTTGTACAAATCGTTCACATGTGATTTCAGGATAAATGAAATTTACCTGTGTTCAATTGTTCTTGAGTTTTTAAAGGACGGGCGAAGACTTTATATTATCTTCATTTTATCTATCTTATCAAATCTTGATTTACTTGTAGTGCTGATTTTTTAGTGCAATGAATTAGAGACACAATTTGAATTCCAAATTGAGCACTAAGAAAGTTTACTTAATCAGAGTTTCCAATTTGACCAACTAATTTCACTTAGCACTTATTCCAAATTGCCCCTTTTGTTGGACATTAATAAGCTGAAGATTCATAATGGATTTTTCAATATTACTAATGACTTATAGTAATATATGATTTATCAAGTCAATATCACAAGGAAAAAAAGAAGAAAAATATATAAAAATAAGATAAGAGTAACATTAAGTGTACACGTTCAAATTCTGACACTATAGTTTCTTTTTAAATCTTTCCATCTAAAGTTCTATTTTTATCTTACTACGCGTAAGATGATTCCAACATCATGTTTGTATTTTAAAGTAAATAAAAAGGGAAAGAGCACTACAAAGACTTGGATAGTTGAATTTTGTGTCAAATGTGTTATGATTGAGTTTTTCCAAGAGAAAGCAAAGTTTGAGTTTTCAAAGTGAAAGCAAAGTGTGTTCTATGCATATGGCCACCAAAGCAAAGCAAAGAAAAACATGACATATGTCATTCAAAGATAAAGAGAAGAAACTTCCAACTTTTTTTCCCCACTCCCCACTATATGCATATTTTGATGAAAAGGAATTTAAGAGTTGTAGGTGACTTAGTGCCTATTTTAATTTGTGGTCTTCATTGGTTCTTTGGAGTTGTCAAAAAAATTGCATTTCTAAGTCTATATCCAACCAAAACATATGTAGTTAAGTGACGATCCTTTATCGAAAAATTATACTGTGGATAAATTATTTTTAAAAAAAATATATGTATATTGATTTATTCATGTGTTTATTTTTTTACATTATTTGGATTCTCTCATTAAAAATTCTGACTTTATCGCTTACTTGATATTCAATCAAATTTAGAATATATATTCCTTTCCTTTTCATATTGGCCCATTGAAGCACTATTTATCACAAGGGTTAATAGTCTACCACATATAAGCTAAAACAACAATTAAAACTTATTGATCTTGATAGTTGCTATAAATTAAGGGTTATGGTAAGATATAGGATGTCTTTAACTTTTATTAAAGATCTCAAATTTGAATTTTATGTATGCAAAAATCTTGATAAGATGTATTACCTTTTAATGAATTATGTGGTGTAAAATTATATTAGTTGAAGTTTTAATATAAATATCAAATACCGAATGACAAACAAAGAATAGGTGAGTTAGTGGACTATATTAATGGGTGGTCTTCATTGGTGCCTTAGGAGTTCCTATAAATTGTCTATTATGCCTATATCCAATCAAAAGGCAACATATGTTGAAGACCTTCTAGTAATCCTTTCTTGTCACCATTGACAAGATGTGGTGTTGCAGATAAGGTTACACCTCTCTTAACTAGGGATTTCGAATTTGAGCCCTGAATATGAAAAATTCCTTGATAGGAAGCGCTTCCCTAAATGGGGCCTACACTATTATATCGATAATTACAATAATTAGATCTTTACTCCAAATTATTTGGTATTTGTTACATATGAAACCTTACTATATTTATATTATTTCTCATTTAAACTCATCTCAAATTCTCAGATACTAATATAACGTTGCTTAGGTGAAAACATTCCGATTTATTATTGTATGGTAAAAACCATCATAAAATATTACACATTTAGTCAATCAAAATCCACAATAAAAAAATACATATAATTTTTATATTATCATTATATAAAACTCGAAGAAAAATATTTCCTAATTAAACTATACTAGATGATGGAATATGTACACCTAACACATATGGAAGTCACTCAAATTTGTAGTCAAGTGAGAACATAAAATGACAGTGGAAATTCATCATGCCTAAAATATAAAGTAGGAGCAAACTGTATCTATAATATATATAAAAAAATATAAATATAAATAAATATGAGTTTTAAGTATTATGCATCAACCATGTAAAAAATATTTACATAATTAGGTCGTCTATTTAGACATCATTATAGATACATTTCTTGATAAATATTAATCGATTGATAAAAATACTAACCAACTTATCATGATATGCACATGTTAAAATTTATCGATATTGTATGAAGAAAATCTAACTGATCAGAAGTATAGTTTCACCACAAGTTACAGATTTGACCGAATCAATAGCATATAAAGTATTTGTCGTGAACTTACTCGTTATTCTATTATAGAATTCAGAACTTATAAACTTAAAATCTCGTTGAAATTATATGTAACTTAAATCCTCGATATAATTTTGCATGAAGCTAGATGAAGGGCCACCACTTACAACCTCATCATGATAAGTTTTTATATACTTTATCATAAAATATTGCCACATACACTACCAACACCACTAACTCCAATCAACATGTTCATATTTAATTTCCTCTTCCATTAAAATATTACTCTTTAAGAGGCTACTAGAAAACCATGCAACTTATAAAAGTTGGATTTTGAGTGCCTATAAATAGCAACACTAACCTTACTCTATGTCATTCACAATCATAAGTATTTATTTTCTTGGCAAGTGACACTTTCCTTATAAATATTTCATAAACACAAGTACTTGTTTAGTACTATTGTACTTGATATATATAATAAACAAGTCTTGCATTTTGGAAGTTTGGAGTTAATATAATGGTGCATTCCAAACTTATTGGAGTTGCAATATTATTGGTATTGCTCTTTGTGGATCTTGCTTTTGGTGCAAGATTTTATGGTAGAGGAGGTGGCGGTGGAGGTGGAGGGGGAGGTGGTGGTGGAGGGTCAGCATTGGGGGTGGGGTCAGGTTATGGTTCAGGGTATGGCTCTGGGGAAGGCTATGGGTATGGTGAGGGTAATGATGTGTTTGGGAGTAGCGGAGGTGGTGGTGGTGGTGGAGGTGGTGGTGGTGGTGGCGGTGGAG